GGCAGCCTCTCAGTGAGATCAGACTAGCTCAAAGCAGAAATTCTCCAAATTGAAAACTGTAAATGTACAGCTTGGTCGACTCCAGACTGCTTTTGCACAATAAAAAACAAACAAACAAAAAACCAACCAGCTTCTGAAAATTAATTATAGTGCATTCGTAAGAAACTCTTCACAGTGAGAATGGTGAGGCAGTGGTAGAGGCTGCCCAGATGGCCCACGCTGGGAAGTGGGCAAGGTAAGGCTGGATAGGTGTTTGGGCAGCCTGATTTACTGAGAGTTGTCTCTGCCCATAGCAAGGTGCTTGGACTTCAAAGGTTCCTTCCAACCTAAACCATTCTATGGTTCTATAACAAAAAAACAACCGAAACAACAAAACCCAGACAGCCAACAACCAGCAAGTATAGTCATATAAAGAAATTATCACGATGACTTATTTTTCCAGAATAGCATGAGGCATCTTACTTTTTACTCAATAGTAAACTACTTCAAAATTGCACTTCAAAAGAGATAACAGTGACAGAACATCAACTGATAGGAGTACATTTGTGCACGTGAACTTCCATATGTCCATATCTAAGAGTGCCCAAGTGTCATGACTTTGAAGAAAAAAAAATATAACTGTTAAAGATAAGCAAATAGCATAACACTTTTTCTGCTTCCACGTGTGGAGAATCAAAGCCATTAACACTGCCTCTTGTCCAGAATCCCAACCATTCAACATTTTACTGCATTTCCAATTCAAAACATGGCACGAGCCACCACAGCCAAAGGATCTCCTCTCAACCCAGTCACCCTTATCCAGCTCCAGTCTATTTCTTTCTTCAGATTTGCTTTAAGAGTAAGTTAAGAAACCTATTTAGAATTCAGGTCTCAGACCACATGTTACAGAAATATAGGAGTTGGAAGATACCTCTGGAGATCATAAGTCCAACCCTCTACTAAAGCAGGTTTGACTACAGAGGAAAGTGTCCAGGATATCCTTTGAATATCTCCAGAGAAGGAGATATTCAACCCCTCAGGACCCCTTAGGACAGCTTTTTTTCAGAGCTCTGTCACCCCCAAAGTGAAGGTGCTTTTCCTTATGTTCACATGGAACTTCCAATGTTCCAGTTCGTGCCTCTTACCCCTTGTTCTATCTAATAGTGGGCACTACTGAAGTCCAGGGTTGCAATTCTACCCGCTGCCCTGCTTCTTTCACACAAGATCCTGAACTCTACTACCTTACGATCACTGCAGCTAAGGTCATCTCCAGCCTTCACATCCCCAACCAAACCTTCTTTGTAAGCAGAAGGTCCAGCAACGCATATCTTGTTGGCTTAACCACCACCTGTGTCAGAAAGCTACCAGCAACACTTTACAGGAACCTCCTGGACTGCACATGTTTGGCTGCGTTTCTTTTTGATGCCCACTGCAGGCTGCCAGTATAGTGTCTATAGCTGTAAGAGCTTTATATCTTTTTGGCTGTGAAGGGTTGGGACAGAACTGGAGCCCTGCTTTTGTGAGTTATCAGGGACCAAGGTTGTTGTTCCCAACACTGCCTACACCTCCTCAGGTGCTCTAACGACGGCTAGAGGATCCTGGCATCTCTCTCCTCACCTTGGGGTCTCCTCAATTTCAAGACCCCCTTCACACACTTTAATCCCCGCTCTGCATGCTGCTTCAGAACATGCCTGCACTTGAGGTGATCACCTCAGAGCACAGATTACTAAAACTTTGTGTTTTCAGGAAGAACTTCCAGGGGAGCATGAAGACCACAGTTTAGCAAGAGATGCTAGGAAACAAAGCAGAATTTCTTCCTGCAAGAAGAAATGAAAAGTCATACACAGCCAGCGTTTCATTAGATTAGAAGAAGCATGACAACTAATTTCACCTCAGAACAAGGACAGACTCTACATCATTCTTCTACAAAATGCCTTAGAAAAGAGCAAGCACCACACACATTCCCTAATTAAACTTCTCCAGCATCTGGAAACACAAGGAACCTCAAAGGCTCGTGGTTAAGTTGTCTGCAAGGCTTAGCTTTCATACAGCAACATTCACTGAGTAATGACACGCTGAGATCTTTGTACTAAACTCCTTATCCCACTCTTCCTATAAGACAATCACAGAGATTTTTTTCTGACTTTGAATATCACAAATCACACAATGCGTGGACAGATGCTTGCTTTTCTACATAATTTAAAATTACTAAATACAGGAAACTGAGAGAAAAAAAAATGCATTTAGTTCACCCATACAATTTTTCTAGGATTTCCAAAAAGCCTGTTACACCGTACGAATCAAAACCTATGTTAGTATAAGAATTACTTGTTTCTGCTGCTGGGCCTTTTTCAGTGCTTCAAGTCTCCTCTGTTTCAGGTGTTCCAACTCATCTTCATCCATTTGGTCGAGCTTCTGCATTTCAGCATCCAGATGTTCTTCCACTACCTTGGCAGTCTGAAGTATTTCATTCTCCAGAACTTTCTGAAGTATTTCAACAGATGTATCAGCAGCCATCTTTAAGTATAAAGTGATCTCCTCAGAGCTGTGGAAACAGTGATACCTGGTGTGAGCACTTCCAATTAAAAGCCTTATCTCTCTGGCTTGCAGTTTACATCCTACAGAAACAAAATGTCACTGTGTTTAAAGCTACTGTACACAGTTATTTTCTACATAGCAACAATGAACACAGATAGCAACAGAGATTCCAGTCAAGTCCTATTATTGTCATACAGATCCAGGCACCTTTGACTGTACACAGGAACACAAAATTACTACTCAATATAAAGTAGTAAAATGAATCAGTTCCAAGGGAACAGTCATCCTGAACCAGATCCACATGCCTTTAATTAAGATTCTGAAACTAGAAGATGCAATCAGAAATGCTGGGAGGACATATAAGATCATAGAACGACCTGGGTTGAGAAGGACCACAGTGATCATAGATTTTCAAGTCCCCTGCTATGTGCAGGGTCACCAACCACCAGACCAGGCTGCCCAGAGGTCTCAGAATAAACCTAAGCAGAGCTCTGTGTAAGCTTTCAGTAGTCTAAACACAATTACTTTAAGTACTTGATGCATGTTAACATATTTAAACCTGAATTAACATTGCTCCCCTTGCAGCCAAAAGCGAAGCACTCAACTGCAATTGCTTTAGGTCAGTGCACTGCTTCAATTAATACAGATTAACTATTATTGCAAGCATCACCTTCTGGCAGAGAGGGAAAGGATTTAAGAAACCTCAGCATCCACTACTTAATTGTTGCAATGAAGAAACACAGCTAAAATTATCTTCTATAAGATTTCTCCTTTCCTAACATTTCAAAAGGCAGAAAGTATTGAGACCAGAGTACATCAAGAGGTGGGGGAATCTAACTGATTGTTCTCCTTGAAAAACTTCCACCTTACAGCAACAGTTTTTTGTTGCGTAACGACTGGCAGTTTTCAAAGAGAAACAGAGGGACAAAACAAAGTCACTGAAATTGGATTCTTTAAGTGCAAGAGATGATTTGGTGCTAAGTGTAAATTCCATGGTTTGGTGGTTGGAGACCATGCACATAGCAGGGGAGTTGAAACTAGATGATCACTGTGGTCCTTTTTAACCACAGGCCATTCTATGATTTCCCACAGCCAGCGTACCAGCGCCATCGGCTTCCAGAACACCTTGCACATAGAGGCAAGAACGCATTTGAAGCAGCGATGGGCAAAGCACCAACATCGTGGCAGTACTCCAAGTTTAATGCACCATCAGCATTGTTGCACGACTGCCACGATGTACACACAGCACGGGCAGAGCGTTTATTCTTTATCTCCCGTATGCACCTCGAGGGGTGGTAAGGAGCTCACCGACACAGGTCAAAGAGAGAGATCTTCAGGATATGGGCGGAGCCGAGCCCCGTGCCGTTGGAACGCCACTGCTTCGGCCTCCGAAGAAACAGGAAGGCGGTTAGTCAGCCCTTCCGCTCCCTACCAGCCCCCAGCGAGCGTTCCCGCGGCAGAAGCTGCACCGCAGAAGACCGCCCAGATAAAGCTACAGCTCCGCAGGGCCGGGAGCCGCCGGCACCGGCGTAGCCGCTACCAACAGCTACTGCCCACCCACCTGCCTAGGGGCGCGGCCGCCGTCACAAACAGGGGCTGCCCGCACGGCCACCCTAGCTCCCGATGAGCTCAGTGACCGCCCCGAGAGCGACCTCACCCGCCCCGGGGCCGCCACATCCCCACAGCCCGCAAATAACACCACCGACACTCACCCGTTCCGCCGTCGCCACTCCCCTCACCTCGCTCCCGCCCCACCTCGTCACGCTCTGGCAAAGTCTCGCGAGAGTCAGAACGGGTCACAGGGGGGGCAAACTGCCTTTTCGCACGCTCATTGGTCAGGAAGGTGGACACGGAAGCGACGGCGACCAACGCGCGTGCGCCGTGCCTGCGAGGGTGGCGGCGGCGGCGGCGGGGGGTAGTGGGCGCGATCCCTGCGGTGGCCGTTACTGGGCGGTGTAATGGCTGCGGGGGGAGCTGAGGGACCGGCCGCGCGCCTTCCGGGGGTCTCCCGCACGGGGCGAGGCGTGTGGAGCGCGGCGGGAGCGTCATGACCGGGAGCCGCTTGTTTTGGCCCGCGCGACAGTTGCCGTGAGGTGAGGGCGGCCCCAGGCGGTGCCTCCGCGCTCCGGGAGCGTGAGGCGTGGCTTTGGCAGCCCCGCTCAGGAGACCGCGCGTGAACTGCGCGCGAGAAGATCCGCGGGTGCGGTTGATGGGATATTAAAGTGTGCCTTAAAAAAAAAAAAAAAAAAAAAAAAAAAGCGTTGTGCTCTTTTTGTTTCTTGGAACTCCGACCGTGGCTCTGCTGCAGCTGGGGCGGGGAGATAACGCTCGGAGCGCCCGCGGTACGGGGCCGACGGCGGGAGGAGCGAGGCCGCCGCGCTCTAACCTCCGGCCGGCAGGGGGCGCTCTCGGCGGGGGGCTCGCCGCAGCTCTCGGCGTGCCGGCGCGGAGCAGGCCGGGACGGCGCGGCGGGGGCGGGGCGGGCGGCTCGCCGTATGCACGGGGCTGCGTGCGGTTGCGGGTGGCTCAACGGTGTTGAGACGGGCGACGAGCCGAGGGGTCGCCGCCATGGGCAAGAAGCAGAAGAACAAGAACGAGGACAGGTAGGGGAACGGCGGCCGGGCCGCGCTGTCTCTCCCCGGGAGCGTGACAGCGGTAGCGAGCGCCGGTGCGGCGGCGCTGAGTCAGGCCCTGCCGGGGCTCGAGGCCTCGCTGGGCCCGGGCGGCGGAGGCAGGGCGGGCCGCGCTGAGGAGCGGTAGGCGCGCTGCTTGCCGCCTCCTTCGGCCCGTTCTCGGCCCCGCGTGGCGGCGGGCCGGCTCGCGGTCGCCGGCTAAAAATAGCGCCTGGGCCCGGCGTCGGGGCTCAGTGGGCTCAGTACGGTACTGCCGTGCGGGACAGTGCGGAGATTGCCCCGGCTGTAGGCTCCGGCCCTGAGGGGCTCTCGCAAGGGCGATTATCGTGAACCGTATGGAGCGCTGAGTGAATAACGTCAAATATGTGTGTTTCAGCAGGAGAGAGCGTGTGCTGTTACTTGTCACTATAAAGTAGTAATAAAAACGTTTACAGTTGGCTCGCAGTGTGCTTCTGGTTGTTAATGCTGACTGAGTTAAATGAAAGCTATTTTCTATACACAGATGGGTAGCGATAGGACAAGGGGGAATGGTTTTAAACTGAGACGAGGAAGTTTAGGTTAGATATTAGGAGGAAGTTTTTCACTCAGAGAGTGATGACACACTGGAACAGGTTGCCCAAGGAGGCTGTGGATGCCCCATCCCTGGTGGCATTCAAGGCCAGGCTGGATGTGGCTCTGGGCAGCCTGGTTTGGTGGTTGGGGACCCTGCACATAGCAGGGGGGTTGAAACTGGATGATCGTTGTGGTCCTTTTCAACCTATTCTGTGAACCTTAAAGTGTGCGTGAACTTGAAACTGTACAGGTCTTTTCCTTACCCAGGCTGACCATTTCGTATATTCTTCTTGAGCCATTAAATGCGCCTTTTCGTGGAAGTACCACCATGAAAACTATCTCACAGACTGTCATTTTTTCTGGTTCTAATATGGGTGCTTGTTCTTATGTTAATAATCTGTACTCTTATCTCCTTTTTCTTTAATTCCACAATTCTATGATTTATTAATCTAAGTCTTAAATCACTTTATGTTTTCTGGTACTTTTTGGATAATAAGTGTTTTGTTAGCAAAGATTGATCTTGGCTAACTATTTTTCTCTTGTGTCTTTTGCCATATTATGCATGCTGGTTTGTACTGTCTGCTATTACAGCTTGTTTCTTGGGCTGTATTTCACAGGTGTGTCCCAGGAGCAGCTCTGGCAAGAGAATGAGTCAAGTGTCACTTGAGGAGGAAGAAGGAGGGGTTGGAGATTTATGCTCTTCAGGAAGGCAGATCCAGTGCTCTCTGTACCTGGTGTGTTAGATGTCAGAATCATGCAGAAATCTTTGGGTGCTGAGGTGCTGCTGTCCTGAGTCCTTTCAGCCATGGTGATGGTGGTGGTGTGAGGTTCTGGAGGGGAACTGGAGAGTCATAGTGCCTACCAGGTGTCTTGTTCTCATTTGAGGCTGAAGGAAGGAAGCATACCTTCAGTGAGAAGCCAGAACTTTATTGTTAGAATAGTTGAAATCTTAAACCTAATGACTGTTTATCCAGATCTGATTATAAATTAGCGTGCTTACTATCTCACTGCTGCTGCAAGTTAGTGGTTTCATCCTGAGGATAGTGAGCTTTTGTAGTGAGTGGTCAGCATTAGAAGTTCTTTGTGAGGAGCAGTGCAATCATTGGTGTTGATGGTTTCATTTTTATTTTTTTATTTTTTTTTAGGATTGACTTGAGATGCTCTGTATGTGCCATCTGTTAGTGTCCATCCCATGACTGTCCTTTTCTCTGCAGCATCCTGCATCTCCACTTCTCAGTGCCTCTTCTTTCATACCAGGCCTATATTTTTCTGCTCTGCAACACTATGTTAGAGCTGTAAATCCCTCATTCTTTAACTGCTTGTTACTGCTGTCTACATGAAACCGTGATTGCAGCGTGCCAGGGTAAACAGAAGTAAAGCCCAGTTACGAATAGATACCTGGTCACTTAGAGAAATTGCTGTCACAGCTAAATCAAGTAACAGTTAAAGGCAGGCCAAGAGAAGCTCAGCCAAAGTAAGCCTGACAGACTTCAGTCCTAAGAGTTTGCAGATGCAGCACAAAAGCTTCTGAACTTCTGTTAGCAGGGGCAAAAGTTATTATTGGGCTACAGCTATGTTGTGGCAGAGGGTTAAGCTGGAGGATGAGATTAAACAGATGTGTATTTGAGAAAGACAGGACAGTTGAGGGGGGGTATATCTTATTGCCAGGAGTTTAAGGGGATGGGAATGAGGTAGGACCTGGAAAGCCAGCGGTGTTTTTAGGTGGGCTCTATCTGCAGAAGTACCCCTTCATCTGATGGGGCTGGTTCTGGCTGATACTCTGTAAGCCATGGGTTCCCTCCAGGGAGGGATCGTGTGTTTGCATCTGTAGCTTCAAGATAGACTTCAGCACCCCTGATCAATCTGCGTTCTGTTCCAGTGAAATGAGGGAGGACTGGCTCCCTGGAACCAAAGGCTCACTTTTGTTTCCCACATGCTTACTTTTCTGAAAGAGTGGTCAGGCACTGGAATGGGCTGCCCAGGGAGGTGGTGGAGTCACTGACCTTGGAGGTGTTCAGGAACGCTTGGATTTTGTGTTGAGGGACATGATTTAGTGAGAACTATTGGTGATAGATTGGACTGGATGGTCTTGTAGGTCTTTTCCAACCTTGGTGTTTCTGTGATTCAGTTTTGTGCTATGCCAAGTTATTCATTTCTTTCTTTTCCCCTCTTCTTTCCTCAGTAACTGCATTTTAGATGTTCCTTACATCCTTTTTGGCTGCCTCTCTGAAAGTGTGCTGCAGCTCAAGGGCACAACTTGCAGTGCAGAGGGAGCAAATGGGAAGATGTGGGCAGTATGTTGGTGTTGTGAATATTGCTTTGAGCATTGATGTAACAAAAAGGAGATTTTTCTCCTTTTCTGCTGACTTGCTGAGACAAGCTACAGAAGGTACAAGTCATCTTTACTCTGCGTTTCTCTTCTCTCCTCTCACCCCTTTCGTTTTAACTTCTGTTACGTAGTTTTCCCTTAGCATGTTACTGTGGAGCATAGTAGAGGTCATGCTGATCAGTAGTAATGTACATCCACGTAAATGAGGCTGACTAAGAACTTTGGCATAGGAGCAGGCTCAAAGTACACAAGGCTGAGACCCTGAGGGTTGCAATACCTGTAGTGAGTAGGGAAGGAATGAGAACGTGGGGTCACTGTCTGCTGTATTTACTCATTGCTATCTGAACCAAATATACCTTCAAATCTGTTTCTACTCCGCCAGCACCTCTGTTATGCTCCTAGGAAATTTACTGACTCCTGCCTTCTGATTTTGGTGCATATGTCCATGAAGAACATATGTGGGTGGTCAGATGGCGTGTTTGAGAGGTGCTCTGTTAAGGTGAGGAGCATCGTGGGTTGTAATTAGTACCTAAGCTAAATGGAAGTTGCTTTGATGGATTCCTCTTATGATTATGTTGATTGCTCATTTTCAAAGAAAACTTCATAGCAAGGCTGTCAATAAAAATATGAGACTTCATAACTTCCAGACGTTCCTAGTGGAAGAGTGGGTGTTCTGATGTGTAATTTGGCTCCTAGGAGTGGTGTGCTATGGATGAGTTGGTTCTTGGGTAGAGCTGTAATGGCAGAAGGCTCTCCCCTGCTGTTTCTGTGAGTTTCGTACAGGAGGCTTTTTAAATGTGTGGGAAGAAAGGCTGTTGAAAGCTACAGAACTCTGTGCTTTGAATTCAAACCTCAGACTGCTGTAGATTTCCAAGTGTAAGTGCTGTATGCAGTAAGTTACGAATAATTTCCTGCCTGAAATCTGAATCTTTACGTTCTTAGCTTTTCTTGTGTGTTTTTTTTTTTTTTTTTTTTTTTTCCCAATCTTCTCCCTGCTTAGTTCTTTTTTCTCCTCCTCTAAGTAGTCTCCTTTAGCTTCCAGTATGTAATCTTTAGGTGTGTTTGTCCTTGTGCCCTTTGATATTGTGTGCTGCTGCTGGGGCATACCTCTCTGATCATTCATGCGTATTGCTTTAGAGTGTGCAGGTGCCAGCAGTGATTCTGCAGCCAAGAATGAGCACTGCTGCTAAAATAAGACTTATAGTGTGGCTGCCTATGCTATATATTGTTTCCTGTTCTACAAATTCAGTTGCTGGTACTGTCTGCTAATCGGTTTGGTCCTTTAAATGAAATCCCCTAAGTGTAGCCTTGGGAAGTTCAGTGAAGGCTGCGCAGCCCACGGACACCTGGAGTTTAGAAATGTTGTGCACTGTAGAACGTGGACAATCTCTGTCTCTATCTGCTTCTCAGGAATGGTCCCACAACAAAGCTTTATGCAGTTCCAGCAAGGAGAGCAGCTGAGAAACACTTGAATTCGTTGTCGCAAATCTCATCTAGAAGCTGCTAGGATTTTGTACTGGCAAATGAAGTATAATTCTGTGCAAATATATGTATGTTACCAAAAAGGCCATGTTTTGTAACACAAGCATTTCACATTTTTAAGAAAGCTGATTTTATACACGTTATTGGATTTCTGTAAAGCAGAGCATCACATCTGGGCCTCTAGGAAGACTATAAGGATCTGCAAATGTTTGCAGTACTGTTTTCCTTTTCAGTGTTGCAGTTCTGGATAAAACCTCTAGTTCAGTTAGTTACTTTTAATACTTACGTAATATTCCTTTTCTTCCTCTTGCTGAAAATAATAATAATAAAAATAGGCCCTAGAACCTGCTGGAAATAATTCTTCTGCACACAGGCTGTGTATGCATGCAGTTAATCCAGTCACTAAGTTTGATTTATTTCAGAAAGTAAGTACTGTGCAGCCTGGTGGGGGTTCTGCTCTGGAAACAGCTGGTATCTCACAAAGATGTGTGTTTTGATGATCCTGCTGCTTGTAGGTTACTGGTTACTTATTCTCCCCACACATCAAATATTTATCTATATGTATTTCTATATGTCTTTTACAGTGAGGGTGGTGAGGCACTGGCTC